GTTTTTTGGTTTGCTAAAGAAAAAAGAAAAAACCCAGAGTTGATTAAATACCACCAAAAAAAGCTCTATCTGTCACAAAAAAATTATAAAAATTTCATATGGGTACAATGTTGCATGACCACGCAATTCTCATTCAAAGTGTGACAGCGCTAAAAGCTGGAAATTGGCCTGGGCAGGAAGGGGGTATAAGTGCTCTGTAGGCTAGTGGTTAAGGTCATGGAGTGGCCTTGCTAGTCCCTAGACCTTAATCCTATAATATAGAAAATTTATGGAGGAAGCTGAAACATCGAGTTGCCAAACAGCCAAGAAACCTAAAGGATTTAGAGGAGATCTGTAAAAAAAAAAAAAAAAAAGAGTGGGCCAAAATCCCTCTTGAGATGTGTGCAAACCTGGTAATCAACTACAAGAAACGTCCTACCTCTGTGGGTTTCTCCAGCAAGTACTAAGTCATGTTTTGCTTGGAGATTAAATACTTATTTTACTCACTGAACTGCAACTCTTTATAACATTTGTATAGTGGTTTTTCTGGATTTTTGGTTGATATTCTGTCTCTATCATCATTTTAAAATACATCTATAATAAAAATGATAGACCCTTCATGTCTATGTAAGTGGGCAAACTTGCAGAATCTGCAGGGGATCAAATACCGTATTTGCCGGAGTATAAGACGACTGGGCGTATAAGACGACCCCCTACTTTTCCTGTTAAAATATAGGGTTTGAGCTATACTCGCCGTATAAGACTACCCCTCTTCCAACGCACACCAAATAAAAATGAAAAAACATCAGATTTGATTTCAATATGGTATGCTATTTCAGTATGGTATTCCAATGATGGGGCACTATTCCTCCCACTGATACCAATGATGAGGCACTACTCCTCCCACTGACACTAATGATGGGGCACTATTCCTCCCACTGACACCAATGATGGGGCACTATTCCTCCCACTGACACTAATGATGGGGCACTACTCTTCCCACTGACACTAATGATGGGGCACTATTCCTCCCACTGATACCGATGATGGGGCACTATTCCTCCCACTGACACCAATGATGGGGCGCTATTCCTCCCACTGATACCAATGATGTGGCACTATTCCTCCCACTGATAACAATGATGGGGCGCTATTCCTCCCACTGATACCAATGATGGGACACTATTCCTCCCACTGACACCAATGATGGTGCCCCATCATTAGTGTCAGTGTGTGAGGAATAGTGTCCCATCATTAGTGTCAGTGGGAGGAATAGTGCCCCATCATTGGTGTCAGTGGGAAGAATAGTGCCCCATCATTGGTGTCAGTGGGAAGAATAGTGCCCCATCATTGGTGTCAGTGGGAAGAATCGTGCCCCATCATTGGTGTCAGTGGGAGGAATAGTGCCCCATCATTGGTGTCAGTGGGAGGAATAGCGCCCCATCATTAGTGTCAGTGGGAGGAATAGCGCCCCATCATTGGTGTCAGTGGGAGGAATAGCGCCCCATCATTGGTGTCAGTGGGAGGAATAGCGCCCCATCATTGGTATCAGTGGCAGGAATTGCGCCCCATCATTGGTGTCAGTGGGAGGAATAGCGCCCCATCATTGGTATCAGTGGAAGGAATAGCGCCCCATCATTGGTGTCAGTGGGGGGAGGAATAGCGCCCCATCATTGGTGTCAGTGGGGAGGAGGAATAGTGCCCCATCGTTGGTGTCAGTGGGGAGGAGGAATAGTGCCCCATCATTGGTGTCAGTGGGGAGAATAGTGCCCCATCATTGGTATCAGTGGGGAGAAAAGTGCTCCATCATTGGTGTCAGTGGGGGAGGAATAGTGCCCCATCGTTGGTGTCAGTGGGGAGGAGGAATAGTGCCCCATCGTTGGTGTCAGTGGGGAGGAGGAATAGTGCCCCATCGTTGGTGTCAGTGGGGAGGAGGAATAGTGCCCCATCGTTGGTGTCAGTGGGGAGGAGGAATAGTGCCCCATCGTTGGTGTCAGTGGGGAGGAGGAATAGTGCCCCATCGTTGGTGTCAGTGGGGAGGAGGAATAGTGCCCCATCGTTGGTGTCAGTGGGGGAGGAATAGTGCCCCATCGTTGGTGTCAGTGGGGAGGAACAGTGCCTCATCGTTGGTGTCAGTGGGGAGGAGGAATAGTGTCCCATCGTTGGTGTCAGTGGGGAGGAATAGTGCCCCATCGTTGGTGTCAGTGGGGGAGGAATAGTGCCCCATCGTTGATGTCAGTGGGGGAGGAACAGTGCCTCATCGTTGGTGTCAGTGGGGAGGAGGAATAGTGTCCCATCGTTGGTGTCAGTGGGGGAGGAACAGTGCCTCATCGTTGGTGTCAGTGGGGAGGAGGAATAGTGTCCCATCGTTGGTGTCAGTGGGGGAGAGGAGCGGCTGCTCCTTCTTTCAGTACGGCTGCTTGATTTTCGCGGGGCCATTCGGCTCCGCCTCCTCGCCGGTGATTGGTCGCCTGTGTGCCTTTCCAGTGCTGGCGCCCAATCACCGGTGAGGAGGCGGAGCCCGAGCGGGGGCGGCGGGACCATCGAGCGGCCGAACTCAAAGAAGGAGCAGCCGCGCTTCTTGGACCGGATCGTCGTGGGACCGGGACCGGAGCCAGGTAAGGTACAGGAGGAGGAGGGGGGTGGCGCCCCTCGAAAAAGTGCCGTCCTGACACCGGCTCGCCGTATACCGGTGTATAAGACGACCCCCGACTTTTCAAAAGATTTTCAGGGGTTGAAAAGTCGTCTTATACGCCGGCAAATACGGTAATTATTTTCCCCACTGTACATATGAACCAGAAGTGACTGCTGATGATGTCTTTCTGGTTCACTTGTTGGTTTCCCTGTGTATCCTAGGATGTCTCATACCTGCAACACCTCCAAAACAAAGCAAAACTAAAGCTGAATAAAAGCCTCTCAAAATCTGAAGGTGCTGTTAGCGAGCTTTGTCATAGACTTCTATGAAGGCTTTGGAGATGCTTTGAAGCACCAAGAAGGCAACATTTATATATATAATTTACGAAGCCAAGCAAAGTAAACATAACAAGGTGAACAGGACTGTAAGCTAACCATTTTATTTAGTGACAGGGGCTTTGATTGGCATTCAGAGTGCTTTAACCATTAGCCGCCCGGCCAATGGCCGAATGGCGGCGTGCAAAATCCATTAGCGTTCCGGGTGGACGCCATATGGCGTCCTCCCAGGCATGCGCAGTTTGCGCTCCTGCAGAGCCGCGCAGCGGTGCGATCTGTCACCGGCCGTGTACCTCGGACACGGCCGATGACAGATCTGAGTACCAATCACAGCAGGTCACATGACAGTTGTATACAATGGATGGCTTCATTCATGTCATCCATTGTATACTAGTGTGTGTAGCTGTGATTGGTCACAGCGATCACATGCACAAGCTGGGCTAATCACAGCCCAGCTGTGTCATGTGATTAGCTGTGGCCAAATCACAGCTAAGCACAAAAAAAAAAAACCCTGAATGAATCGATGTCATTCAGGTAAATGCTTGGTTATAGCAAAGTAATTCTTTACTATAAGCAAATTGTGTAAAAAAAAAAAAAAAAAAAAAAAATACGGATCACTTCCCCAAAGTAGTACAATGTTACTATGGTAACATTGTACTACTTTGGTCATCGTGAAATATGAAAAAAAAATTGTAAAAAAAAATGTAATAAAAAATTAAAAATAATTAAAAAAAAATTATATATATTTTTTTTTTTCATACTGTCACCAGTCAGTGTCCCTGATCACTGCCATGCCAGTTATATGATGACACTGTACTGCACTGGTGACAGTATGTAAAAAAAAAAAAATAGTGAAAATAATTTTTTTCATTTTTTTCATTTTCCGAAAAATTATGACAAAAAAAATACAACTTGAAGAAACTCGCCATGCCTCTTATGAAGTACGTCGGACTGTCTACATTGCAAAAAGGGGTCATTTGGGGATATCTGTACTGTTCTGACATTCTTGGACCTCAAGAAATTAGATTGGCTGTCAGTACTTCAGGATTGATCAATATTCAGATCTATACCATAGTTTGTGAACTCTATAACTTTCCTACAAACTAAAAAATACATCCTAATTTGGGTTATTTTCACCAAAGACATGTAGCAGAATACATCTTGGCCTAAATTTATGAAGAGCAATTTTTTATTTGCAAACGTTTATATAACAGAAACAAAGAAAAACGTGTTTGTTTTTTCAAAATTTACTGTCTTTTTTTTGTTAATTTAGCAAAAAATAAAAACCCCAGTGGTGATTAAATACCACCAAAAGAAAGCTCTAGTTGTGTGAAGAAAATGATAAAATTTTAGTTTGGGTACAATGTTGTATGACCGCGCAATTGTCATTCAAAGTGTGAAAGCGCTGAAACCTGAAAACTGGCCTGGGCAGGAAGGGGGTAAAAGTGCCCTGTATGGAAGAGGTTAAATAAGCGTATACAATGCCATTTTGAAGCAAATGTAAACGAGCCCTAATAGGCAGCACTCAAGACAGCTCACTTTTCATGCGTCATATACTTATAACATGAAGCATTATATAAAGACAGAACAGTAAACTGTAGTACATGCACAGTTCCTCTATCTACAGTGGCAAACTATGACAGGATCACTTTAAAGTGGAAGTAAACTTAGTTTCTTAAAAAGCCCTGACAGTCTCTTCTGCCATAAATGCATCCTCTTGCCTGTCAGCTGTCATGTTCACTGAGATGCGCATGAGCAGCTCACCAAACATTTGCTGCCCTGATCTGTGCCGTGGCAATGTGGCTCTGTGCGTGCTTGAGAGTTATGTCATCGCGGCCCATACTATCAAATGGCCACAGGCACAGAACCGGAAGAAACACCAGACGAAGATGGAAGCGCCGGGAGCCAACCCATTGCCGTGCTGGAGGGCACTGTTTGACAGGTAAGTCTGCCATAATGTACTATTATGCCGTGCATACTAGCACATTGTAGCAAACCTATCTGGGGGCCCCTAAGAAGAAAATGATATAGAGTTAACTATGGCTGTAAGAATGTTGCTTGTTTTTTTTATATATCCACATAAAATCCTAATCTATTGGTATTTAATTGTTTCAGTTGTTGGAGAGTTTGGCAGAATTGCTATTGAATTTTTACGGAAAGGTTCCAATCCAAAAGTGTATGAAGGTGCTGCACGTAAGTAATAGAAATTTCTGCTTGTTGGAATCTGTAAAACAGAAAGTTTTAAGTATCTCAGCCTCTTTATGGTCGGCAATTTAAAACTAGAAAGGGAAGTTTACATGGTAAAGACAACTTATAACTAGCACACAGAACAGCATTTGCCAGCAAAGAGGATCAAATACAACTTACTTTAAAATGTAATCAGGTACAGTGGTTGAAGCTGCTCTAAATTGCAACTGTATGGGGAGACCATATCATAACAGAATTCTCTCTGGGAGCAGGTGTATTATTACAAGTAAATCGATTAACAGTGAGCTAGCCTACCTGATGGTTTCCACCTGGATCTTTAAAACTGCAGTGAATGATGTGACATTTGCTCTACAAGACAGCAGACATTTCCCATGAGAAGAGCTGAAGAAAATAAGAACTGGCTTTTCATTTTTGCTAGAAGTGGGCTCTCTTTATTACTACTCCATATACTTGAATTGGTTCTTCATTTTGTTGCAAAAATTTTCTAACATTCTTCTCAATTAGTTTATGTAAAATGGGTTTTACAAACATCCACAGATATATAGTATATGGAAAGGTTTATGAATACCAGAAGAGGTGCAGGATATAAACGTGTTGATAATTCTGAGTATTATTTATTTTATTTTTTACAGGTACTTATATAGCGCCATCAATTTATGCAGCATTTTGCACATGAAAAGTGCTGTGTAAATTGACGGCATTATATATATATATATTGTACATTCACATCCGTCCCTAACCTTTAAGGGGCGTACAATCTAGGTCCCTAACTCACATTCATACATACACATACTAGGGCCTATTTAGACAGGAACCAATTAACCTACCAGCTTGTCTTTGGAGCGTGTGAGGAAACCAGAGTACCCAGAGGAAACCCACGCAGGCACAGAGAGAACATGCAAACTCCAGGAATGTGGTGCTGCGGTTTGGATTTGAACCAACAACCATAGTACTGCCAGGCAGAAGTGCTGCCCATAGCCACTGTGCTGCCCATGTTGGGGGCCCTTTTAAATAATGGTGTTAGCTGAATAGTTGGATGTACAAATCCTGTGTGTAGGTGGTACATGGCAGGGCTTGAGGTTTGGGCACAGTACAGAGTCTAGTGGCAGACATTAGTGTGTGCATGTTAATCTAAAGAAGAAATCAAGGCAGAGTCAGTGATACTAGGTAAACAAACAACTGAATATACAAATCTTCCAACAAATAATTCAAGTGTCAAAAAAACACATCAAATCCGTGTTTCTCTACAATCACTGTAGTGTAGCAGTCGAGTAATCCTCAGTTCACCTCTTGTGATTTTATCAAATCAACACTTGTGCACCTCCACCAGTTGTGCTCTCACCTTATATATATATATATGACCAAACATTAAGTGAGGTCGTATAAAGCCTGTGTCCCTTCATTTGGACTATAATGAAAATGGGTTTGCTATCCAAACGGTCTGGGTCCCCTTCACTCCTGTAGTTGTCCCCCTCCATCGGTTCAAATGCCAAGAAAAATAATCAAAACATAGCGCTTTATCCTTATAAAAAGCATTTGTTTAATATAAGCTGTATTCCACTCACATGTGTAATATAATAAAGCGCTTTACACAAAGATCAATTGTTGCAAATAGCCGGTAATGATTCCAGCCTGCACAGCTTGCTGATGTATTGTCCTCTGTTAGTCGAGCGTCATTATTATTATACAGTATTTATAAAGCGCCAATAGTTCGCTCAGCGCTGTACATTACAAAGGGGACAGAACATGTGACAGAACAATACCAATACAATGTGATACACGAGGGGTTCGAGGGCCCTGCTCTTTCAAGCTTACAATCTAGGAGGGAGGGGATGGTGGCACAGGAGGAGATAGCTGTGGGGGATGGAGTGGTAGAAGAGTGGAGGAGGTCGGCAAGTTAGCAGGGGGTGGGGGTAGGCTTCCCTGAAGAGATGGGTTTTCAGGGTGCGCCTAAAAAGAGAGGAGAGTAGGTGATAATCTGATGGGTTGGGGCAGGGAGTTCCAGAGGATGGGTGACACCCTGGAGAAGTCCTGGAGGCGGGCATGGGAGGAGGAGACCAGGGAACTAGAGAGAAGGAGGTCTTGTGAGGAGCGGAGTGTGCGTGCTGGGCGGTACTTGGATATTAGGTCAGTGATGTAGTTCGGGGCAGCAGTATGGTGGACGGCTTTGTACGTCAGCGTTAGGATTTTGAATTTGATCCGTTGCGCAATCGGAAGCCAGTGGAGGGATTGGCAGAGGGGGGTGGCGGAGACAGAGCGGTTGGAAAGGTGAATGAGTCTGGCAGCCGTATTCAGGATGGACTGAAGCAGGGGGATAGCCAGCGGCCAGGCAGGCCAGTGAGGAGGGAGTTGCAGTAGTCGAGTCGTGATATGATGAGAGAGTGGATGAGCTGTTTAGTGGTTTCTGGGGTTAGGAACGTGCGGATTTGGCGATGTTGCGGAGGTGTGGAGTCTGCACGAGTTTGTTAAAGATTGGACTTGGGACTGGAAGGATAGGTTGGAGTCCAGAATGGCACCCAGTACTCTGGCCTGCAGGGCGGGTTTAATGATAGCGTTGTTGGATGTGACGGAGAAATCAATGGGGGTGGTTTTCCGGGCTGGGGGAAGACAAGAAACTCGGTTTTGGAGAGGTTCAATTTAAGGAAGTGGAGCGACATCCAGTCTGATATGTCGCTCAGTAGGTGTGTGTGATTCGGGCTGAGACCAAGGGGGTGAGGTGGGGGGTTGAGAGATAGATTTTGTGTCGTCGGCATAGAGGTGGTAGTTGAAGCCGTGAGAGTGTATGAGTTGGCCAAGGGGAGGAGGTATAGATGGAGAAGAGAAGGGGCCCAAGGACAGAGCCTTGAGGGACCCCAACAGAGAGGGGGAGTGAGGGGGAGGTGGTAGTATTATAGGTAACGCTGAAGGAGCGTTGTGACAGGTAGGATGAGAGCCAGGAGAGAGCAGAATCTCTGAGGCCGAGGGAGTGTAGTTTTTTGAGGAGGAGGGGGTGGTCGACTGTGTCGAAGGCCGCAGAGAGGTCAAGGAGTAGGAGCACTGAATAGTGGCCATTAGCTTTGGCGGTTAGCAGGTCGTTGGAGAGTTTGAGTAAGGCAGTTTTCGGTGGAGTGTAGGGGACGGAAGCCGGACTGTAGGGAATCGAGGAGGTTGATGTCGTTGAGGTGAGAGCATAGGCGGGTGTAGGCTAGGTGCTCGAGGAGTTTAGATGTAAATGGGAGCAGGGAGATGGGTCTGAGGTTGTTCGGGTCATTGGGGTCCAGGGAGGGCTTTTTAAGTATGGGGGGGTGATGTGTGCATGTTTCAGAGGGGAGGGGAAAGTGCCTGAGGAGAGGGAGAGATTGAAGATGTGGGTGAGGGAGCGTAGGATGGAGGAGGAGGAAGGTCGTAGGAGTTGTGAGGGGATAGGGTCGAGGGGGCAGGGGTGAGGTGGGCATCAGAGAGGATCTTGGAGACTTCCTCGATGGTAGTAAGGTCAAAGGTGCGGAGTGTGGGGGGAGCTTCAGTATGAGGAATGTGTAGGGTGGGGTGGAAGAGGAGGTCAGAGCAGTGGTGGGGCCGTGGGAGAGGGGTGATGAGGGGGTAGCTGAGTGAGGGTGAAGGGGGTTGGAGAGAGTTTTTGAGCAGCGACGAAGTCCCTGCGGGTTATGTCGAGGGGGAGGGGGGATAAGGGGGTAGCTGTGTGAGAGGGGACGGTTTGAAAGGGTGTGTGAGTTGCGGCAATGTCCTTGCGAATTGTGTCAATCTTGTTTTTGAAGTGATTGGCAATCTCAAGGGCAGTGAGTGAGGTGCTGGGTGGAGGTGGGGGGGTGGAGAGAGTAGAGAGTTGAAGGCAGAGAAGAGTCGGCGAGGATTGGAGGAGAGGGCCTTGATGAGGGTCAAGAAGTAGGCCTGTTTGGCAGCATGGAGGGAAGAGGTGTAGGTGTGGAAGGCAGATTTGTAGCGGGTGAAGGCTTGTTGGGATTTGGTTTTGCGCCATAGTCGCTCCAGGGCACGACTTTGTCGTTTGAGGGTTTTGGTGTGATCAGTCTGCCAGGGCTGGAGCGGTCGGGGTCTGATGTTGCGTGTGGTTAAAGGCGCTAGTGAGTCAAGGGCTGTTGAGAGCGCATTGTTGTAGGCGGTCAAAGCCAAGTCAGGCCAGGACAGGGGGAGGATGCGGTCGTGGAGTTGATCAGCTGCAGAGTGGAGGGAGGCAGGGTTAAGGTTGCGGAGGTTACGGCTGGTAGTAGTAGTGTGACATTTGGAGGGGTAGGCGTTGGAGGACGAGGAAATAGAGAAGGTGATCAGGTTGTGGTCAGAGAGAGGGAAGGGGGTGTTAGTGAGGTTGTGGGGAGCGCAGCGGTTGGAGTAGACAAGGTCCAGGATATTTCCGTCGAGAGTGGGTGGTGGATTGTATGCACTGTGCAAGTGCAAAGGAGGAGGTTAGGTGGAGGAGACGGGCTGTGTCTGGGTTGTCGAGGTTGACAGGGATGTTGAAATCCCCAAGGATGATGGTGGGTAGCTCAGAGGAGAGGAAGAAGGGTAGCCAGGAGGAGAAGTCATCCAGGAATCGGGGTATGGATCCAGGAGGCCGGTATATACCAGCAATCTTCAGGGGGGTTGGGGAGAATAGTCGGACGCAGTGGGCCTCGAAGGAGGAGAAGGATAGGGAGGGGGGGTTTGGGAGGACTCGGAAGGTGCTCTGCGGTGACAGGAGCAGACCAACCCCACCACCTTTACGACCGTTAGGCCTGGGTGAGTGGGTCCAGGTGAGACCTCCGTAGGAGAGTGCAGCAGGGGAGGTAGAGTCAGTGGGCTGGATCCAGGTTTCCGTGATCGCTAGGAGGTTGAGGGAGCGGGGAAACAAAGAGGTCGTGGATGGCGGTAAGCTTGTTGCACACCGATTGGGCGTTCAGGAGTGCACATGAAAATGGGGGGGAGATTTTAGGGAGCAGGGGGACAGATACTAAGTTGTGGGGGTTGCAGTAGGACGTGGAGGTGGGAGGGTGTTGAGCGGGTGAGGGAGGTGGAGGGCCAGGATTCGGGGAGATGTCCCCCGCGGCTAGAAGGAGGAGAAGGGTGAGAAAGGTGGCATGGGAGCGGGATGTGCAGGAGCGTGAGAAACTACTAGTGGAGGTGTTGGGGTCAGTGGGAGAGTGGAGTAATAGGAGGAGGTGGTGGGTGCCATAGAGGGGCGAAGGAAGCAGTGAGGACACAATATACAATTGTTTGGGAGGGGCAGAGGGATATAGTGAATGGATTTTGTCAAAGCCCCTCCCCTACGCGTTACGCCACCGGGTCACGTGGCTTCATCAGGGGGAAATGATTGGACGGCACAGCACTCATTCTTTTTATACAGGGATCGCCACAATGCCATTTTATTGTAGTCTGTGTGGTGGAGGCCATATTCCTTAGCTTACTTTGTATTGGATCAGTATTGCTGCAATGTTACTGCTTCCACATTTATTTTTTTAACTCTTATTGGTAATTTCTAAACTGTATTAACGGTGCTATACGATCCATTACATATAGTAGAATCAAATATTACTGGCTGAGCCCATATATGTAACATTAGATATCAATATATATTATGATACCTCCACCTATGCACTGATCATAGTAACTGGCATAATTTAGACAGCATACAATCATATGCAATAAAACATATACATACATATGGGTGTGATTACATCAATTATAATTGAAATTTAAAATCTAAAAGAATTTAAATAAAATAAAATTAAAAATAAAAACTGGAAATAAAAATATAGATTAAAAATGAAAAATTGTATATAAAATGTAAAATATATATAGGGAATTCAGCAAAAAAGAATCGAGGTGGATTCACGAAATGAAAAGTCTAGTGCCACTGGGTTTGAATAAGGAATTTGACCTCACATGCTTGCTTCATCACCAACACATAACATCACTTCTAATACATTGCAGGTGATGTTTTCAATCAAGCCAGTTCTATAGAGTGGGGTTCACACACACACACACTGCAAGGGTTAAATTCAAAACCCTAAACTGACCACGTAACACTAACTATAACTATGCACCTAGCCCTAGAACCCAGCAGATTCCCATTTAACTCAATGGTAGTGTGGATAACAGTACTGAGGCTGCTTTTGACCAATTTTGTATTTTGTTCTCTGAAAGCAACATGTCCTTTTTTGGATGCATTTGCATTTCTGATCAGTAGAAGCCTCTTGCATACAAAATGTTTGAGCTGTACTACATTCAGATGTAAAAGCTTGTAATTTCTAACAACACAATCCTTAAAGAATACAATATGTTTACCCTGTAAACAAAAATTTAAAAGTCAGCAGCTACAAATTCTGTAGCTGCTGACTTTTAAAATACACACACTTGTTGTCCAAAGATCCAGCGCCGTCCTTACCCGACAGTTCTTTGCCAGTTTTCTGGTCTCCGGTTCTGGCATGTTAAAGCGGATCTTCACACTGCCCTCCACCGCCCACTATTTTTTTTTCATCCTCCCCTCTTACCCTGTAAGCAGTCTTGCACAGTTAACGTACTCACTTGCCTAGTGGATCCAACATTGTCCTAATGAGATCTGCCCCAGATTTCTCCCACACCGCCATGTTCTTTGGTGAGGTCAGCAGGAAGCTGCTGGCTCTTCCAGGTTCACCCAGTGGCTCTTCGATGACATGCTGCTAGGCCCCACCCCTCTATTCTTAAAGAAAATCTAAGCCTCCTGGGATATTATTATACAGGATTTATATAGCGCCAACAGTTTACAATATAAAGGGAGACAATACAGCAACAATACAGTTCAATACAAGAGGGTTAGGAGGGCCCTGCTCCTTGGAGCTTACAATCTAGGATATGTGATGTACATTTTCCAGCAGGCAGAGCGGCAAAGTGCAAGTCAATCACTAGGCGAATGACATGTACTTGGGGGGGGGGGGGGGGGGGGGGGTTGACAGGCCAGACCTTTTATTAGAAGAAAAAAAAAAAAACATAAAGGAGGAGAGAAGAAAAAATGTTTTGTGCAACGGAAGGGAAAAGAGGTGAATTCAAGGCAACATGTAATTCCGACTGAAGTCCTTAAAGGGTAACTCCACTTTTGTGGGGAAAAAAAAAATACAAAAATAAAATATATATATATATATATATTATATATGTCTTATACAATTGTGACACAAGTCATATTGTAATTGAAAAACAAAAAAAAGGCATAAGAGACACTATCTGGCTGATGTGTCTTGAGCTGCTGTCTCCTGGTTTTGTTGAGATTTTCCTTCTCTGATACCCCCCTCTCCTCCACCCCTGCAGCCATAATCTTCCAGGCACCTCCCTCCATTCAGAGAAGTTGTACTATAGCTTTTATGAATGGAGGAGGTGGATGGAAAGGGTGGGCATAGTCCGCTCCATTAGCCGCTGCATCACTGCAAGAAGTGAGGTGTAGGATATTTTAGGAGGAGGAAAATTTCAACTAAACCAAGAGACAGCAGCACAAGGGATACATCACACTGATGGTAAGTAATGTGCTTTTTGTGTGTTGTCTTCTTTTGTTTTTTTAAAGTATAACTAAAGGCAAACCCTTTTTTTTGGGGGGGGGGGTGTGTTGGGCAGAGTGGAGGTGAATTAGAATCCCTGTTAGTTTTTTTTGTTTTTTGCTGTATGTGCCCCAGTTAAGGAGATTTACCCCCTCCATATGTCCTGTTGACCATTATCGTGAAAGTAAAGGAAAATCACAAATTTTTGGTTTCCCACAGAAAAGGGGAATAGGGGAAATCTTTATCCCCGTAATTTTCAGGGATTTCCTCACTTCCTGTTTTGGCTATGGGACAGGAAGTGAAGGTAAAACTCCAAAATGGGACACAGATGGCGGAAAAAAAATCTGACAGGAGTTATAGCCCTCCCTAGATCTATCCAAAATTTTTTAAAAAGTTTTGCCTAGTTTCACTTTAGGTAAATGTATTGGTAAAATGTGCACTGAGCAGAATGATAGGAAAGGGCAAAGGTCCAGTGACTTTATTTTTGTCATGCCTGCTTTGGTGAATTTGCTGGCATAGGGGTAGGCTGTTTAAATTTAATTCTACAATAAATGTTTATAATTGCCCAGGATTGTCTGGATTATGGACAGGGCCTGTGAAACTTCAATTTGTAAGTTTAATAATTTTTCTGATCGCCTTTGTTTTCATTACTTGCAGGAAAGTTAGAGGTCAGTAGTAGCACCATTCAGCAGGCTGTAGAGGGGCTCACTTACCTTCTCACAGAGAGCTCCAAACTTATGGTGAGTAAGCTGGTATATTCTGTCTGTCCACTGTCTGAATATCTGTAGTCTTCTTCACGAATTTCCTGTTCTGGATCGGCAGGTTTCAGAAATTGATTTTCAAGATTCTGTGCTTGTCCTGGGATTCCCAGAAGAATTGAATAAAGTTCTCCTCCAACTATATCTAGATAACAGGAAAGAGATCCGCCAAATTCTGAGTGAACTGGAACCAGATTTACCACATTACCACAACCTGGAGTGGCGACTGGATGTTCAGGTAAGTGAACAAGCATTATGCAGTGGTTGCATATAATATATCCTTCTAAGGTTACATGGATGTTTGAAGCCCAGCTCTAATCAATGAGAATGTACACTCACCGACCACTTTATTAGATACCTCTTTGCTAGTGCCAAGAAAATATCCCCCACACCATTACACCACCAGCCTGAACCGATGATACAAGGCAGGATGGATCCATGCTTTCATGTAGTTCACACTAAATTCCGACCCTACCATCTGAATATCGCAGCAACCAGTTTGTCCATTCTCCTCTGACATCAACAAGTCCACACAACTGCTGCTCACTGGATATTTTCTTTTTTTGGACCATTTTCTGTAAACTCTAGAGATGGTTGTATGTGAAAATCCCAGTAGATCAAGTTTTTTAAATTCTCAGACCAGCCAGTCTGGCACAACAACAACCATGCCACATTGAAAGTCACTTAAATCCCCTTTCTTCCACATTTTGATGTTCGGTTTCAGAAAGTCGCCTTCACCACGCCATGTGATTGGCTGATTTGCAATTTGTGTTACCAAGCAATTGAACAGATGTACCTAATAAAGTTATTGATGAGTGTAGATTCCCTGTGTGTTTTGGAGATGTTCTGACAACTCTCACTTGGACTGGGAGTGATGGGAACTCATAGTGGGGACATAGAAAACGGTCAACACCTAGTGAAGATTATATCCAATCTAATAAAACAGTTTTTTATAGTTGTTATTGTACCTATTAGATTTTTGCTTGTATCCGGTTTAGCAAGACACCCACCAAATAGTGATTGGAACTCTCCCTAGCAGGTAACAAACACAGCAATGAAAAACCCAGCAAAGTGTCTAAAGCTTCCACACTTAATACAAAACTGAAACAAACATTTTGGCTGGAGTGGGGGCTTAAATTTCTTTGGCTGAGATTTAACCATTTGTTTGCAGTTAACTAACTTGAAGCACACTGAAATCAATAAACTACTATTTACATAATTTGTAGTTAAATTTTTTGGTAGCTAACCAATTTTTTTTACCTATGACACTTTAGCGTAAATGTTGTATTTTTCTGCTTCTGTCATGTGACACTAATCGGAGTTGGTTACAGTGATTACTCTTAAGAGCATTCAGTTTAGCATTGAACAAATGACCCTTGTCCTTTATAAATGCTAAAGCTCACACACATTACAATATGATTGTACAATCTGTTTTAGAGCCATTTCACAGTGGTCAGTTTCAATCTGTCAGTTTTTCAGATCCTGACCGAGCCACAATGTAAGCCTACGGGCGGATGTAAAAGAACCTACATCCATTTTACGTCAGTTTATGTCCATAGAAAAAAAAAAATGAAAAAGATCTCCTTCTTTTCTGTTTTTGTAGACATGAACGGATGTAAACAGATGTCCATTCTGTTTGTCTGTATTTGGGAAAGAAACATAATTTTTGTTTTAACTCTTGTCACCTATGACTGGTTTCTTCAACAACTAAAAGAAGAATAAAAAGACGTGAACTGAAGACAGATGTGCAAACTCGGGAAAACTTAAGTAATTTGATTCAGTGTTCATCAGTTTTCTCTTAGCAAAAAATATGACTGAACCGATGACATCCAAGTGAAAGGACTCTTAGATCTGGCAACAGCTGTGAAACGTAATGGCCTGCCTGATTAGATACAAATTGATTGGATAGATTCCGTTACATAGTTAGTCTGGCTGAAAAAAATGTCAAAAGTCCATGCAGTTCAAGCAACAACAAAAAAAAGTTATAATCCTATTCCCACAGTTGATCCAGAGGAAGGCAAAAAAACCCAGCAAAGCATGATCCAATTTGCTCCTGCAGGGGAAGAAATTCCTTCCTGATCTCCCGAGAGGCAATCGGATATTCCCTGGATCAACTTTTACCTATAAATGTTAGTAACCAGTTATATTCTGTGTATTCAAGAAAGAATCCAGGCCTTTTCTAAAGCAATCCACTGAGCTGGCGAGAACCAACTCTTGATGGAGTCCATTCCACATTTTCGCAGCTCTTACTGTGAAGAAACCTTTACATATTTGGAGAATACATTTCTTTTCCTCCAGATATAAAGAGTGCCCCCTTGTCCTCTGTGATGACCTCAAGGTGAATAGTTCTACACCAAGTTCATATATGAACCACTGATGTATTTATACATGTTGATCATATCCCCCTTAATCTCCTCTTCTCAAGAGAGAATAAATTCAGTTCCTCTAATCTTTCCTCATAGCTGAGCTCCTCCATGCCTCTTCTCAGTTTGGTTGCCCTTCTATGCACTTTCTCCAGTTCCCCAATGTTCTTTTTGTGAATTGGTGCCCAAAACTGAACTGCATATTCCAGATGAGGTCTTACTAATGATTTGTACAGGGGTAAAATGATATCTCTCTCTGGGGTCTATACCTCTTTTAATACAAGAGAGGATTTTGCTCGCTTTGGAAACCGCAGCTTGGCATTGCATGCCATTATTAAGCCTATGATGACCTTGGCTGTGCTCGGGCGCAGGGGTGGTTTGGCTTGGCTAGAGAGGCAGGCCCGCAGTGAAAAGCAGAGGTTTTCTATGCATTTCACAAACCTGGCATCTGATGGGTCCTCACAGAGCTCCTTCATTGCTGCTGCAGAACACTGACAGTCTCCTGTGTCCTGTCCGCAGTGTCTGACAGTGACCCGTGTCCTGCCCGCAGTGTCTGACAGTGACCCGTGTCCTGCCCGCAGTGTCTGACCGTGACCCGTGTCCTGCCCGCAGTGTCTGACCGTGACCCGTGTCCTGCCCGCAGTGTCTGACCGTGACCCGTGTCCTGCCCGCAGTGTGTGTCCTGACCAGTGTCTGTGACCCGTGTCCTGCCCGCAGTGTCTGACCGTGACCCGTGTCCTGCCCGCAGTGTCTGACCGTGACCCGTGTCCTGCCCGCAGTGTCTGACCGTGACCCGTGTCCTGCCCGCAGTGTCTGACCGTGACCCGTGTCCTGCCCGCAGTGTCTGACCGTGACCCGTGTCCTGCCCGCAGTGTCTGACCGTGACCGTGTCCTGCCCGCAGTGTCTGACCGTGACCCGTGTCCTGCCCGCAGTGTCTGACCGTGACCCGTGTCCTGCCCGCAGTGTCTGACCGTGACCCGTGTCCTGCCCGCAGTGTCTGACCGTGACCCGTGTCCTGCCCGCAGTGTCTGACCGTGACCCGTGTCCTGCCCGCAGTGTCTGACCGTGACCCGTGTCCTGCCCGCAGTGTCTGACCGTGACCCGTGTCCTGCCCGCAGTGTCTGACCGTGACCCGTGTCCTGCCCGCAGTGTCTGACCGTGACCCGTGTCCTGCCCGCAGTGTCTGACCGTGACCCGTGTCCTGCCCGCAGTGTCTGACCGTGACCCGTGTCCTGCCCGCAGTGTCTGACCGTGACCCGTGTCCTGCCCGCAGCGTCTGACCGTGACCGTGTCTGCCCGCAGCGTCTGACCGTGACCCGTGTCCTGCCCGCAGCGTCTGACCGTGACCCGTGTCCTGCCCGCAGCGTCTGACCGTGACCCGTGTCCTGCCCGCAGCGTCTGACCGTCTCCCGTGTCCTGCCCGCAGCGTGACCTGACCGTGTCCTGCCCGCCGTCTGACCGTCCCGTGTCTGCCCGCAGCGTCTGACCGTCTCCCGTGTCTGCCCGCAGCGTCTGACCGTCTCCCGTGTCCTGCCCGCAGCGTCTGACCGTCTCCCGTGTCCTGCCCGCAGCGTCTGACCGTCTCCCGTGTCCTGTCCGCAGCGTCTGACCGTCTCCGTGTCCTGTCCGCAGCGTCTGACCGTCTCCCGTGTCCTGTCCGCAGCGTCTGACCGTCTCCCGTGTCCTGTCCGCAGCGTCTGACAGTCTCCCGTGTCCTGTCCGCAGCGTCTGACAGTCCCGTGTCCTGTCCGCAGCGTCTGACAGTCTCCCGTGTCCTGTCCGCAGCGTCTGACAGTCTCCCGTGTCCTGTCCGCAGCGTCTGACAGTCTCCCGTGTCCTGTCCGCAGCGTCTGACAGTCTCCCGTGTCCTGTCCGCAGCGTCTGACAGTCTCCCGTGTCCTGTGCAGCCTGACAGTCTCCCGTGTCCTGTCCGCAGCGTCTGACAGTCTCCCGTGTCCTGTCCGCAGCGTCTGACAGTCTCCCGTGTCCTGTCCGCAGCGTCTGACAGTCTCCCGTGTCCTGCCCGCAGCGTCTGACCGTGTCTCCCGTCTGTCCCCTGCCCGCAGCGTCTGACCCGTGTCTCCCGTGACCTCCCGTGTCCTGCCCGCAGCGTCTGACCGTCTCCCGTGTCCTGCCCGCAGCGTCTGACCGTCTCCCGTGTCCTGCCCGCAGCGTCTGACCGTCTCCCGTGTCCTGCCCGCAGCGTCTGACAGTCTCCCGTGTCCTGTCCGCAGCGTCTGACCAGTCTCCCGTGTCCTAACCCCGCAGCGTCTGACAGTCTCCCGTGTCCTTCCCGAAAGCGTCTGACCTTGTCTCCCGCAGCGTCTGACAGTCTCCCGTGTTTCCTGTCCGCAGCGTCTGACAGTCTCCCGTGTCCTGTCCGCAGCGTCTGACAGTCTCCCGTGTCCTGTCCGCAGCGTCTGACAGTCTCCCGTGTCCTGTCCGCAGCGTCTGACAGTCTCCCGTGTCCTGTCCGCAGCGTCTGACAGTCCCGTGTCAGCGTCTGACAGTCTCCCGTGTCCTGTCCGCAGCGTCTGACAGTCTCCGTGTCCTGTCCGCAGCGTCTGACAGTCTCCCGTGTCCTGCCCGCAGCGTCTGACCGTCTCCCGTGTCCTGCCCGCAGCGTCTGACCGTCTCCCGTGTCCTGCCCGCAGCGTCTGACCGTGGCCCGTGTCCTGCCCGCAGCGTCTGACCGTGGCCCGTGTCCTGCCCGCAGCGTCTGACCGTGGCCCGTGTCCTGCCCGCAGCGTCTGACCGTGGCCCGTGTCCTGCCCGCAGCGTCTGACCGTCTCCCGTGTCCTGCCCGCAGCGTCTGACCGTCTCCCGTGTCCTGCCCGCAGCGTCTGACCGTCTCCCGTGTCCTGCCCGCAGCGTCTGACCGTGGCCCGTGTCCTGCCCGCAGCGTCTGACCGTGGCCCGTGTCCTGCCCGCAGCGTCTGACCGTGGCCCGGTCCTGCCCGCAGCAGTGTCTGACCGTGGCCCGTGTCCTGCCCGCAGTGTCTGACCGTGGCCCGTGTCCTGCCCGCAGTGTCTGACCGTCTCCCCTAGTATATCGGCAGTCTCTGACCAACTCCAGAGATGGAGCTCTAATAGGAAGAGTTGGAGCCAATAGTGGAAGGGCAGGGTTTACAGATGAAGGGGTGGATCTTAAACAGGAAGGGGGTGACCAACTTAGATGGGGGGGGGCCCGATTTTAGTCTTGCCTAGCACAAAACCAAAATACACCACTGGGTATTGGTATGCAGTAACCCATGGCAACGAGTCTGCTAACCCTAGGCTTCAAAAAATTGTCCTCTGACCTGTACAAATACATACATTTGTACGTGGGTTGCTTTTTATTTCTTAGCCTGTAAAAGATTACAGTTGACAAGTATACATTTTTCTATGTCATTTGAGAATATTGTATTGTGAAATCTACATTTGTTATTATATGAGCTGTGCTGTAGTTTTCCCAAATCAATTTAGTAATGCCTTTGCAGTTCCATCAGCCATTTTAAATTTGATGTCCCTACTATAAAATAATTTTCATGGATATTTTAAGCCTTCCGCTAGCCCTGTGGACTATTAAAAGCATGGATACAACATTTTCTTAAGCATGCTTTTCATGTATAAATATACCGTGTTCATCAATTTGTGTGAAAGCCATGAAGTACAGCATAGCCAAGAGAAGGCATATTAAATGGTCTCATCATTATCACATACTAAACAAACAAGGAGTTTATTCATCATTTAGGGGTAGTGAGTGGAGCCATGAAAATCAGTCCTTTATGCTTCAGAGGTCAACCATGTATCCAGAACTGCTGCTTCACAGCACATATACAGTACAGTTTAAATACAGAGTCTTTATTTAGCTTCCATACAGCTTTTTTAGCATTGATAGTTTTCATAAGGGTTGGATATGGAAAATGTCTGCTATGGAATCAGACTTGTGGAGCAACGATCATAGATAACCAATCAAGTTATGGTGAAGGGAACAGAGGTCTTATGGTGATGTTTGACTTTAAACAACCACGGCCCCTGCCTGGAGTTTGCATGTTCTCTCTATGCCTGCCTTGATTTCCTCCGGTTATTGCAGTTCCCTTCCACACTCCAAAGACTTCTGGGGGGGGGGGGGGGGGGGTTAATCGGCTCCTGTCTACATTGGCCCTAGTATGTGTATGTATGAATGGGAGTTAAGGACCTTGGACTGGATTAAGCTCCTTTAGCGCAGGGACAGATGTGAATGTACGATATATATGTAAAGAGCTGTGTAAGTCGTTGCTGCTATATAAATACAGTACCTGTAATAAATAACAGTATCTTTTTCATCACAAATCCACAAAGCAGGCTGGTTAGCCCTCATCTGTGCAGCACTAACTCGACTCCAACCGTGTTATATGGCTCTAAAAGGCCAGCAGGAGGCAGTATAGTGTACCAGATATTCATGTAGTAGGAATTTCAGAAGTCTAACTCATGTCCTTGTCTTACCTGCCCTTCTACAGCTTGGCAGCAGAAGTCTAAGGCATCAAGTAAAACCCACCATGACAATGAAACTTCACTTGAAGCAGAACGACAATGTCAACACCAGTGTATTACAGACCGACCCCGCAACACTAATCCATATCATCCAGGAACTGGAGCAAGCTCTCGCAGAGATGAAGACAAACCACTGTCGCAGAATTGTGCGCAATATTAAATAAACCCTATGGCATTTGAGGCCTTATGCTCAGAAAAGTTTGAAGATAAACTGTTTGTTGCCTAGAGCAACCAATCAGGATCTTTTTCATGTGTCTTATGCATTATGGGACAATGAAAGGTATAATGTCCGTAAATGCAGTGGACAATTGAAATAACTTTCTGTACAACACAATTATAATGGTGACACCCCAGTGTCCGTTTTATATGATAGCAAGTGTACAGATTAACAATAATTGCTTCTATAAAGCACTTAGGAAGTTTATAATGACATTTCAGATGCAGTGTGTGTGTGAGAGTAGTGTGATATGTTGGGACAGAGCTGTCATATTCTCATCTGATAGGACAGACAGCATTGTAGTTAATAATGTTCTTCATTGCAGATTGATCCATGTGCCATAAATGTTTTTGTTACATTGCTGCAGACTTGTAAATAAATATCTTTGTTATGGCTTATAAATATTTTTCTTTTCTTCCTCAAATTTTCTTTAGTAGTTTTTTTGGCCATACTCTGAGCAACTTTCGCTTTCAGGATTTAACATGAAAGTAACATGGCCAGCCTAAGAGCAGCCAGGCTCAGCTCAGTATTAGTAAGCTATACAGCTTGCTTTCTCATTGCTTGTGTTTAGGCAGCATGGGAGTTTGAAGTTTAACTTCACCTAAAACTTATATATGCTTTTTTTGTGTAGTTACTGGCAAGTTTAAATTACAATTTGGCTTCTGTATTTTGAGAAATTCAGAGGCAAAAAAAAAATTCTACCAGTTATGAAGCTAAATGGAAATGTAATTTCTTCCTAATGGATCCTCGGTAAAGAAATTATAGAGAATTATGCAAAAGCATGACACCTTCATTATCTCCTAGATTGTAAGCTCGAAAGAGCAGGGCCCTTGATCCCCTCATGTTTTGCATTGTATTGGTATTGTTCTGTCACATGTTCTGTCCCCCTTTGTAATGTACAGCGCTGAGCGAACTATTGGCGCTTTATAAATACTGTATAATAATAATAATAATTATGGCCCTAGAAAAGGGACAAAAACTAGTTAACTTCCCGTCCGGCCCATGTACCTAAACGGCCGGACGGGAGCAGTGCAGGTGGCCATTTATAAAACGTCCTCCGTGCCTGTGCACGCTCCCTGGGAGTGCACAGCACCTCGATCCAGTGCCTGCTGTGTCCGGAACACTGTTCGCTGTACAGGACCTCTGTGTGAGGTCCCAATCATGTGACTACTGATTGGCCAATCAGTGATCACATGAATAGTAGTAAGCAAGATGTTGCTTCTGACATCATTGCTTACTACTAGTGAAATCTGTGAATGATCACAGAGGCCACATGGTACAAGGCTATTCACAACAGCCTTGTACCAAGTGACAAGCTGTGACCAATCACTGGGATCTGCATGCTTATTCTTCTATCCATTTCCTCTCCCCCATCTCAAGATACCAGGGGTGACAGAAAGCACCAGTACCATCTCAATTAATACATATCAGAATTGGATGTAGTTGGCTATTAAAGTGATAAAAAAAACACATACTGTACGTACAATGAAGTAAAATGTGGAAGAGACCCTTGTACTTTTCTTTGTTTATATTAAAGTGTAGAGCTTCTACAGAATTCCACACACAGTCCCTGACAGGCCAGTTAGTTAGAAACCAATGAATCTACAGATGTTTTTGATGCATGGGTGGAAACTGGAGGAGAAGGAAGAAATCCACACAAACACACAAGCATGTCAACCTGGATGATGTGGAAATCTAATTTAGGAGTCTGGTGCTACAAGAAGTTTGTGCTGTCATGTTGGCACCATGTCCCATTATTCTCAAAAATAATGAGTAAACAAGGAGGCGGTGAGGTCTCATGTACATATGTGGAACCTCAAGTGCAACCCTTTTCATTGGTTCAGCCCCAGGGAAGCAGTACATATAGAAAAGAAAACTTGCTTCAATTCACTGATTCATTATACTACAACAAATTTGTAGTAGGTAGACTTAGAATTAAATCAAAGCTCCTGATCTGCATTCTTCCCAAAATACTAAAAACACTGAGTCAGCTTGTCTAACAAGTAAAGAATATGGCCCCCTTTACTGTATGTGTCTTTGTGCATGCTAGAGAGCTGGACTGCTCTACACAGAATGCAATGGCTTTTATCTCCAGCCTGCTCCCCACAGGGTAGCTTAGGTACAATGTTGAGCATGAACATACAAACAAAATAGAAATAATAATAATGTCATATTGTTTGCTTGTTACAAAGCTTGATTGTATAACGAGAAAAAGTGAAGACTTCAACTGTGCTGTGAGGGCCTTTTTACACCTATACTTGTACATTGCTTGATGTGGCATGTTGTCATTTTTACTGCTAGGATGCGAACTGGGGGACCCTTTGGAAATTGACATAAAACACCCCAAATACACATGTGTGACATGTGCCTTCCTTGTACTCTGATTCCCTCCCGTCAAGGTTTAATTTGCTCTTGTCTAAATTAGCCCTGGTATGTGTACAAATAGGCTATGCACAATTGTTATTACATTCTGTATGCTAGTCCCAAGCTCAATAATTGGGGAGGGCTGAGGAAAGACTTGCCAACCTACTTTGTGAAAAATTCACCAAGAAAATTCTATAGACAAAGGCTCTCAAGCATATCCGATATGGAGCCAAGAGAGCTGGCAAGGGTTGGATACAACTGAATGAAGATATACATAAATATATTGATTTCGGTGAGCCATTAATGCATGTTCATTGTGTGCAGCACAGGTATCTATACAGGGGGGCATTGATAACAATGTTTTTTTTTGGGGGGGGGGTTTTTCTCACTGCATTCGTAGTGTTTTTTAATAAAGTTCATACAGAATATTTACCTGATATATCACGAGTCATCCAGGATAGCGCAAGTAATATTGCTGGCAGGCCTGCCGTTTAGCAGAGCCATTCCATGGTAATCTGTCAGTATTTTGACAGCAGCTCCATGCCATCTGCGTGTCTGAGCCTTCAAATTAGTGAGAAGCATTTGGCAGCCCCTCCAGGAAGAGAAAACAATTGTCAGAAACAGTTGCCAGCAAAAGGTAACTCTGAGGTCTGCTATGTCCATTTGTCATGTCTCAGCTGCTTGCAGTGCTACACAAGATACCTGTTGCTAATAATACACGATGGATGAAGCAGTACGTGTGCTGTCTCACTACTGTGTGTAGAACACTGACACAGCTAAATCTAAAGGGACAAGTCTATCACCGTATAGTATCGGAATAGGACACCTGGCTGTGCTATGTCTGACTGCAAAAACAACAACTATTCTGTTTAAACACTAAATCTGTCAAAATGCCGCATGCTTGTGAATTAAACCAACACATGGGATCTGATCTAAAAAAAAAAAAAAAACAATGCAGCAAAAATGATTAGCCCAGCAGCCAATCTTCAATCTCACCTTCAACAGAGGAAATGTAATTAGGAAATAAGTAGCATGACTGGCTGCTTGACTGAAGTGCAGTTTGTCCTGGACCAGCCCCCAGCCTGTAACTGGACAGTGAAAAAAGAAACAGCACAGTGATAAGATTCTCTCTGTCACTATGCTTTCTCCTCCTATCAGCAAGCTTCTTGTCAACACATAACCTGATTGGCTACTTGTGCTGTTTTTTTTATATTCACACTCCAGCCCTGCTGTACATGGACTGCAAGATGCTGATACCAGGTCAAATCCAGGTACACGTACACACTGCTTGCATTTAAAAAATACAATTAAAGAATATGTAAACCCAAAACTTCATACTCCTAATATTAGTGGTGCACCGAAATGAAAATTCTGGTGCCGAGAACGAACATTCAAAATGCACTTGCCGAAGAGCAAAATGCGCAGTTTTTAAAAATGAATATATATTTTGTGGAAAAAAAATACTTTGATAAAAAAAAAAACAATATATACCCCAATTTTTTTATAAAATATGAAAGAGGATGTTACAGCGAGTAAATAGATACCCAACATGTAACACTTTAAAATTGCACACGTTTGTGACAGCGTGAAACTGCGGTACTTAAAAATCTCCATGGGTGATGCTTTAAAAAGTTCTACAGGTTAGCAGTGTAAAGTTACAGAGGAGTTCTAGTGTGAGAATTATTGCTCTTGCTCTGACGTTCGTGGCGATACCTCACTTGTGTGGTTTGAACACAATTTACATATGTGGGTATGACCTCCATATGCGTTCACCACTACGTGTGAGTACGGGGGGGGGGGGGCAACTTTTTTTTTTTTTTTTTTTTTTTGCACTGTCCCTTTTAAAAAAAATGTAATCCATTTTATTCTTATCACAAGAAATGCAAGCATCCCTTATGATATAAATAATTAGTGACAGGTCCTCTTTATGGAGCGATGTCGGGTCAATAAGACCCCACATCTCTCCTCTGCAATGTAAAGCATTGGATCAAAAAAAGCATTGATATAGTGCTTAAAAAAAAATGTCTGGGACCCGGAAGCGATGTCACTCCGGTCCTCCAAGGGCATAGAGATGAGTGGAGGCCATCTTTCCTTCACTCATCTCTATGCACAGCGCCGGGAACGATTGATGGTTTCTCAGGTAAGGCTGAGAACTACCAAGTGGCGGCGGCGAATGGCGGGGTTTTTTCGGCACCTGTATCCGTGCTTTTTTTCATTAAGGTCGAAAGGGGTTTTTTCGGACGAAACGTTTCAGCCAACAAAATTTCCGTGCATCCCTACCTAATATGTGCCTGATGTGCCATGTACGCGTGTGAAATGTATCCTATTCTCTTTGTATTGTATATGTATACAGTTGCATTCATTTGTTTTTGTTTTGTTTTTTTAATATCTGCTTTAAATGTGTTATATTGTGGTCTCTTCCTTTCTAGGGATTTCATTTAATATTAATAGAGCTAACGGCAAACTTTTTGTGTTTAATTTTTGAATAGAGTAAGGCGGTTTATAACGCCAGTCAGTTTTTTTTTGCTATCTATGTCCCATTGAGGAGCTTTCTCTTTATTTCCTGTCCCATAGCCAAAAGAG